GAATTCACTTTCTTTAGCGAAAGACCTTGCTTTCTGGAGCTTTTGCTACTAGCTCGGTGAATCGAGTGATAAACATCATCCAAGCGACATCGGCCGGCTGTTCGGCCAGGTAGCAAAGGATATGGCAAGGTGTAACAACATAGGTTTCGTCGTTGTTCTCAATGATTACTCCGAGTGTCAGATGTAACGAAAGAGCAAAATCCTGTTTTCGCTACGGCCAAGTGGTGCATCGATGGTCACGTAGTCGACCATTAGTTCCTCATTGGAGAGCACAAGATCCAAAACAGAGGATACGTCACTCACTCCTAATCGGCATGGAGAAGAGAACAAATGAACACTTGAACCATCAACCCGAGCTACCGGTATTCCGAAACATTTTAAAGGTGGCGTGGTTGTACAAATGCACACAGGGAATCATCTCTTGCAAGTCAGCCTTGAATTTTTTGCTGTGCGATGTTTGGGCTTTGACTGAGTGATGTTTATGTCTACTACCAGAAAGACGTGATGATGTGATCGTGCCAGAACCCTCTTCATCGCAGAAACGGGACACTAATCCATTTCCAAGATGGACATTGGAGGCCAGTAATATATTGATAGTAAACGCACATCACCCCGTCTTAGGTGAATACGACACCAAAGAGCTTCGACGACTTGCGTTTTTGGGTCCTCAATGATATCAAGCTGCATGTAGGGTCGGTACTACAGGAACACTCCGCCTCCTCTTCTAGGTCGATCGTTTCGTATAGAAGTCATCCCATGTAGAACAAACTCAGCATCAGTTATTACCGTGTTCAGTCATGTTTCTCGGTCCATAGCTATATCCCAAAACGTGGCGATCTGACGAATAGGAAGTTCGGTTAGCTTGCTGAGAAGAGATTGCACTTTGAAATACAAGCGGTTGAGTGCATCGGTGATTAGAAGCGAATTTGTGGGTGCTAATTTCCTGTGTGGATCTATGCAGACCATTGCGGTGTCGGCTGCCCGTGACGTGACACAATTTCCAGGGCCAGTTCATTCTGTTGTGTAGAGTTCGCAATGTAAGCAAGAGGGTGACTATCCTACGCTCTTTCAGTTGCCATCGTGTTTTGGTGTAGTCTCCCTTCTGTGATACATAGTGACGGAATTGTATTGGTAAGTTGTCCGCTGAGTGTTACCATGTCTACCTGTGGCCCGTTGCCCATCGCCTTGCCACATTTTTCAGGTGGTAGCATTTTACACAATTTGTTCCACATTTTGATCACGCCTTTTTACCATTAGTTTGGATCGTATTGTTACTTTCATCACTCGGGGACCACACCATTTGTAGTTAGATGATAGCGGTAACCTTGACGTTGAATTAGCGATAACATTTTCGAGTGAGAGCACTTCACGAATAGAACGCTATTCATCTCAGTCAGGCGCTTTGACCTCTAGCTCGCTTAATATCTGGAGCTCATGGACAACGTGAACAAGGATAGATTTTGCGTCTTGTTATTTACGAAAGTCATCCTGTTTTTGTTTGTGTTTTTGACGTTCGCTCCAAAGAACAGGCGGAAAAATTCGAACAATGCATGAAGTGGCACGGAGACCAGTGGCTGACAAGAGGACTACCTCTGCATCATTACCTGCTTGAAGTTTTACCTGGAGTAACCGCGGTTCGTCATAGCGTACGGAGTTTGGGTGACGGACGAGGCATATCATAATGACCGGCTTCACTTGAACCCCTATAACCTGACACAGGGAGTCCCACTGTTACTGATCGTGTAGTATCTAACTTTTAGAGCGTTTGCCCTAGATTCAGTCATATTAGTACATATGACATTCAAAGAATTAGGGCATTGTTTCATGTTTTCCTTTTTTGGAGGGACCAGTGGCAGCATTTTTCGTTTGGACAGCTAATGGGGCCTTGAATCCCATGGTGGTATTGGCAGTATTAACTCATTTGGCAGCGGGCGGGGTTTCGATTGGCGGTGCCTCTGTCATATGAGCAGTAACAATGGAAGCATTTGTTATCGGACCCCTAACATTGTTCGATGTGACGTGTGGTTCGCTTGAAGAATGTGTGACGAACGCATCTTCATGAGCAGCCACTAGTATGGGGGGCAGCTAACTCTGGATCGTTACTAATATTTTCTGCCTGGCTAAACTGTGCTGAATTGGAGTATGATGTTGAGCATCCAATTCGAGCACTGATTTGTCTGGTTCCTGTGAGACAGCTTACACAGCTGCTACTTGCTCTACAATCTTTGTCAGCCTATCGAACTTCTGTGCCAACACAGGTATACCTCCGACGAGTGGAACAGACGTACACTCGGTGCAGATCCAGAGGGAATCAACCGTACTATAAAGTTGCTATAGCCGGCGGAGACTAAGGCAAGCCCATCGAGCATGAAACTTTTTCGGCAAGTTGTTACTTCTATTCCAAATGGCACAAGTTTACCACAGCTATCTAACGTTCATTTCGGAAGCTTTAGGCCTAACTTTTCATGGGCAATCAGTACGTGCAATTGTGATTGTCGGTTCTGCGAATATAGTTTGTTGCAGAGTCTAAACGAGTAGGCTGAATCCAAGTGCTGTCGGTCAAGCTGTTGGTAGGACTAACACAATTACAGTTATAGTAACACACAAGTTAGATTACCATAGAGCAAATGGAAGATAAGGGGCACAGGCGGCAGTTAAGCCGATCAATGAACTCTCCGAAAATGGTCAATGAATATACACCAAATTTACACAGGTTAAACATTTTACCAACAGAAAGACCTTGACGCACAATTCACACAGAAAAGCACGTATAACATAGTACCCCCGTAGTTATAGTAGTATCCCGCACGGTAATGCAAAAATGCGCGGCGTCCATGGGTACAGACACTTTGTATTTCTGTCGTAATGAATTCGACACCATCTGAATGAGAGTCCGGATGTCCATCTCCTACCCAATTGAAGTCCAGTGTGGAGTTTCCCAAGGCTCGGTGCTGGGACAGCATTTACTCCTAGTATTCAGCAATGACCTTTCTAGGTTACTCCAGTCAGACTTTTACCATTTGCAGTCTACGTCAAGAGGTGGCATGAAATCAAGTCAATGAGCAACCATGCTGAAGTACAAAGAGATATCGACAAGACCTACACTTGCTCATCCGAAAACAGAATCCACGATAACTTGGTAAAACGCAAAGCTCTAAGCATACACCACCGATATACTCATAAATATCGACTGGGAAAGCGTCTGCTCCAACCTAGTACGCAGGAAAGCTAGCTCATAGTAATCGCGCAGGACGACCTTGGTTTCTCGAAACAGGCCGAGAAAACATACAGAAAAGCCAGACAGCCACTTGGCTACCCAAGAATGGCGTTCGGGAAAGTAGAGCCATCAAACTTTCCACAAATGCTGAGCGTCTACATGAGGCTCCACGTGGAATACTCGATCCAAGCCAGGCGACTTTGGCGCAAACACGACGCTGCTGTGCTCGAAGCTTCACAACGTAGGGAAATAAGAATCGTTAATGGAGTGTTTCACCCCTCCTGCCAACATAGACTACAACCCTAGGCTTGTACAGCGGCGAAAACGGGCGCCTACGAGTAGATCTCATTATGGTGTACCAAATACTGACATCCGAAGGACAGGTACTTCGGTCCATTGGGAAGTGAAGGGTGAGTGAGCCAATCTGCAACACCAGGACAGGTACTGTGAGCTCATTGGCAATACGTCGCGCACCAAGCAGAAGTTAGGTATTAATATTTGCGCACCTAATCGTCAGCCCTCGGAGGCACAGTGGTAGAGCAGCGGACCGGAAATTCGTGGACCGCGGTTTAAGTCCACGTCGAGGCACATTATTGTGCGTGAATTTTAATCGTAACTTCTACTTTCTACGAACTTTACACTACTCACAAACATCCACACTTAACTCTAGTTACGTCTGTCTCGATCTGTTACACGTCAAGCATACTCCCAATCTGCGACGTCAACAGTTCAAACTGACTACATACCGACAAACATTTTCTCCCTTCAAACATCTAGCACTTGAAATGCTCTTCCATCTCATGTTATTTTCGCCCCTAAACTATCGTGCCATTTTAAAGACGACCGGGATGCCCTCTATGTTAAATTACGTAAAATAGTCCGTTTCTATCGAAAGACGAAATTATGCAAACAGTGTGCTCCCCAGTCCTCTCCGTTTCGTAGTGGTGAGCAGGCCAGCATGTGCTCAGGTAATTAAGTTGGTGAATCAACTCAAACCAAAATGTTCCCTTTTCCACATTAAGTTAAACATTCATTTTCTAATCCCCACTCCGGTCATCATAAAGGACTTATCAAACAGTGGCTTTTACCCGTTATCCATCATTGTTCGTTTTTCTTCGTTGTCCCAATTGGGAATGTGTTTGTTACAGTCGTTTACATTCTTTCACTAAATTAAATTGTTGATTTCCAAGCGATAACATAAATTTTTCTATCGGTGAAAACAATATACTTTGCTTGTGTATCAGGTGGCCAGTCGGATTGCAACTATGACTGCGTACATGCATTATTAAGCTACAATGGAGGTTTATGCATGTATGGTAAATACCAATTAACATCTGTATATCTGAGTTGGAAGTACAGCAGTTCCGCTTATGTTGAGCAAATAGTAGTTCATGTGAATGTTATGTTCGGAAAGAAAATAATACAAGCTTTTCCGAGATCTCCTGCAAATTACGGTGGAAAACTGAGTATCAGGTTACTGCATGTTAATATACCTTTGTGTCTAACTGTTAGCTTGTTCTATCAGCTGATTACATCAGCACCAGATTGGTCAACACTATTAATACAACGCACGGACTACAATAATTTTGATTACTCGGGTGATACGAAGCACATAAACAAAACCTGTTAACCCAAAACGTAAATGAACATTCAAACTCACATCCTGAGCTGCAAAAAGTATTAATAATGATTTCTTATTTACTTGTATATAATTGGTAAGCGCACAGAACATAGTTACAATTGTGAGCAGCCATGAGGAAAGAGAATGTCCGATTTGACATACCTGAAATACGGTCATCAAGGCCTTGGCAAAAGTGTCAAAATTTTGAGTTGGCCGTCCTTCGTCAAAATTGAAGCTATGCAACGTAATGAAACAAGGCCCAAGGGACACAGTGGTGAATGGAAACAGGATAAGTGATTGGCAAATTGGATAAAATAACCTGAACAGCTGCACATAGGAGTGGGGTGTAATTTAGTCTAGCAAACTGATGTTATCCGCACTTTGCGCCTCTACCGAATGCTGATTCCTGTTTGGCTACTGGTGTTCCACTTTTATTTTATAATCGCTAGAGCAACAGGACAAATTCAGAAAGTAAAGATTTAGTTCATGTGTTGGTTTTCTGAAAGTGCAGAAAACTGAGCAAACTTGGATTTAGCTCCCTAAGGCACTCAGCTGTGGATAAACGTCAAATAATGCAATGTGTTAAGCATTCATCTGGGAGAGAACACAATTCTAAGGTCTTAAGTGAAGTCAAAGTGAGTGCACAGTATTATGCTGAACTCTAGTTGTCATACATTACTTCATTTTTAACATGATGATCTTTATTAAGGCAGTGCCGGTAGATGGATTATCGTAGAAAGGGATTCAGGCCAACGGGGTCATCGTGGTCGCTTTGGTCTATTCCATATTACAACTGCTGACACGAATCACTTCAGGCAAGTAAAGTTTATCGCATGCAGTGACCTGAACTTGTCGTGATTCGCACACGAAGTTTATCCTTCTTGCCATCATTGTCGAAATACCCGATGATTAATTATAATCTTACCTGACAAAATGACGACATATTAGTACAGATGGCAGGTATTATACTTTGTAAACTATATGGCTAATTGTACCAGTGTAAACTGAGGTTTGCAGTCAGCTTCTCGACTATGAAAAACTAAACGAGAAATTTATGGCATTCCTTTTCTGCCCCTCACACACTATAGGATAAATGCATATTCATCTCTCATCGGTTTTCAATGTATGTGTTGCGAAATCAGAAACAAATGTCGTTTGCAGAGGTTTACCATCCGGTTAATGCACCACAAATGAATGACACAAAGGCAAACAAAAGATAAGAGTAAAGTACAAAGGACTGTAGCTTTTCTCAGTCAAATGGATCCATAACGCTTTCATATGCATACCTAGGGAGGCATAGTTCGCTCAAGATGGTTCTTAATGCAATCAAATTTCATCCAACGGGCGCGAACCTCTTAAATTCTACTGTACATTGAGTTACCACTCCCAAATCAGCTAACAACATTCCGCTCTTATCCTGCTGGGTGACTTGGGATTGGTCACCTAAAGAACACTTGGGGGCTTTCACGTCACCTTTAGATGCAATTTGATGGTGTTCGGGACCAACGTAAAAGATCCATGGAGGAATATCCTTTCTTTAATGAGTAATTTGAAAGCGTTACAGGTGAACTTGGTTGGGAAATGGCACAGACATAGTCTGAGTGCTAAACTTTTCCTAGAATGATCGAGAGTGTATGCGTGTGTGCTGTTGTCCACACCACATGCCAGTATTTCAAAAGGTCCCAGTTACTGAACACATTATTTATACGCGTGAAGCTGGATCGAGATCGTTTCGGTCGTTACCAGTAGATGATATCTAGCCGATCGTCGGTGGTATTTGAGTAAACGGTAGACAGGATTAAAGGTCTTACGCGTTTTCACTTGGCGGTTCGAATTAAGCAGGTGTGCAGATATAGCGCTGGCCACTAATCCATTCACTCCGCTATATAGAAAAGTTGGGAATACTCCTGGGGCTCTCTCCATCAGTCACGTAATTTGTTTCTGATGGCAGCTGATGTGAAATCATATAGCATGCAACAAATGCTATCCCAATTTTTGCCCGGCGCAAATCATTGACAAGTTTCCAACCGCGTCTTCATCTAGGTTGCACGATCTAGTTGCACGACTGTTTCCGTATGGAGTTAACCAGTAGTGGCCACCTTCGTAAGAAATGTCAGGAGAGGCATCTAAGGTGCAACCACAAAAACATTGAAATATTTTAGATGTTCAACTGTTCTCAATATTTCTATATTTGATTCCATATTCTACAGGTGGAAGTGCAGTTGCCAGATGTGTAAACTAGGTATTCTTAAAGCGCGGATGAAAGCGGTGGTCCGTTTGTACTACCCTGCAGCACCGCATACGTTTAGCGCTTCGGTCAGCTAGACGGCCCAGAACAAAATATATTGAGTTCAAAAAATAACCTAGTTTGTTGCTATTGTGGTTTATTTAATTCTGATTTCTTTGAAAAATTTAGCGTATCTATCCTCGAGTGTTGATAGCTACGTCTGTTTCTCTATTATTTCCTATGGAGAGTTCGGAAGCAGATGGTCATGTTACTGCAATGGAGGCAATACTCAACGTAGAATGAGGTCAGTCATTGCGTGCTGGCACAAATGATTCTTGTGGGTGCTAAGGGGATCGACCGGAATGAGAATACTCAGAGCAGAGGTTCCCTCATGTGGAAATATTCTACTATCTACCAAGGAACTCCCTGCGCTTCATAGACCAAAGATTTTTGGAGAACTCTACCAATATAGGGACGTTCTACTGGAAAGATCCAAGTCGAATAGTTTAGACTGTGTTACGTGTAATGGATTCATCAACCAATCGCTTTGATTGTAGCCATCGAGCAAGCCGTGAACTTGTTCTTTAAACGCTTCTGTATCTGCAATCGCCTTTCTTATTCGGTACATTAAGCAACCATTGATTATTCGTAGAAAATATCAAATGTGCACGCAAATGTTATTAGTAAACTCATTGGTCCAGACAAAAGTTTCGTTTGACAAAGCTTTTAAATCGGCCGATGCCCTTCGTGGAACTTCATGATTATGATGCCTACCGTGAATGTCAGTCTTGAAGAAATATTTCGTGGACTTATTTGAATAAACTATTTCCGAGTTCATTAAGGAAATGTTAATCTATCCAAATTTTGAATGTGAAGGCTGCCACACTAGCACGATTCGCAATTTGTTTCTTTTAGTTACAAGATTTTAAGCCTATTGAAAGAAATTATAAGGAAGATAGAAAAATATTGAGTGTTACCCACCCGAAAACACTGCACACCGCTGTGATTGCTTATGACGAGCCATGGTCTGTATGGCGACGTTCGCGACTCATGTGTGTGAATAAATGTCCACATGATCAAGCAGGAGCGCCTATGGCGCGCTGAGGTTGGTGCTGGCTAGGTCCTGTCAGATGGTCTACCCACTACTGCTACTGTTGTGCCATTGGCTCATGTCCTGGACGCCTCCTCATGGCGATCGCTGGGTGGGAGCTGAGTTACCCGATTCTCCTTGCTAATATGCAGGACACCAATCCGCATGAGTCAGTGAACTGACCATGTGCTAGACCGGCTGCCTTTCGGGTGTGCGTTTAATCGGAGGCTTTGGCTGAGGACCCGAGTCGTGTGGGCACCTTGCCAGTATCCTAGTCCATCCTCTTCGGAGGTTAGGAAGTGATCCATTGCTCTCTTCCCGTAAAACCTAACCATGGGTGACAACAGCACTACGGGTAATAAGCTCATAGCTCGATTGGCGTAGAGCACAATCGACACGCATTGTCTCTGACGGTGGAAGGGCACCTCACGGTGTTCATTGGTTTACTACTGGCCACCTCAAGCCAGGCAGCCCCTGGTCAAATTGGCGCAAACGAGCCAAAACCCACCTGCGTCTGGCCGTGGTCGCAGCTGTATGCTACAACGGGCGCAAAACATATAGATACATCGTTCCAGAACCCCAAAGATTGTGTGTGACGGCCGTCAAGCAGATCCCAATCTGTCTATGCAATCACATACCCGAGCTGGATCTGCTACCCACTGACTTGTGGGTCAGTCTATTGAGTCAAAGGCTCTGAGAAGAGTCCCGCAAACAGACGTCCAAACAACCCACTGCCTTGTGGGTCAGGCAATTGAACCAAAGGCTCTGCATGGAGTACCCCAAGCAAACCTCCGAAGCACATTCGCCGTCGCGCCTGCGATTGTCCACAAATGAAATCGTATGCCTGCGTACGAAACGCTCAGCATGGGGTGCTAGAACCTGCGCACGCTACTAGACCGGAACTACAATGAACACCTCGAGCGACGCACCGCACACGTCGCGATGCAACTGGCGCGCTTCCACATCGCTCAGTTATATCCGGATCGCCGAGCAAGGTAAGTCGCGTGAAGCAGGTGCTGGCTACACATTCTACTGGGTAGGCAACACCGCATCAACACCACTTGAACATGCGGTCGGATTTGCACTATCCGATCGTCTCCATGGTCATCTAATAGATGAAACAACAGGGATAAGCGCGCGACTGCTAACTGTCCTCCTACGATTCGGAAGATGTAAGTTTGCTACCTTAAAAAGCATGTACGGTCGGACCATGTGTCATCCTGATGACACGCGTGATCAATCCTACACTTAGCTATCCTCCGTGATACGGTCTGTGGAGAGGAGCCTCCTACTATTTCGGTTGGGTGCTTACAACGCGCGCGTTAGGCGGGATGCATCGGTGTGGACGGATGTTATCGGTGCGAAGGCGAACCGTAATAGGTTTCTATCACTGTGCGCAACGCACTGCTTGAGGATCACGTACATTCGGTATTGCACTGAGTGCGAGTGTACTAACAACGTGGACGCACCCCCGGAGTGGTCACGTTAACCTGCTCGACTATATCATCGTACGTCAAAGTGATATAAGCGGACTGCGCATGACACGTTTACAGAGTGGAACTGAGCGTGGCACTGGTCACAAATGGGTGCCTAACAAACTGTATATGTTTTCGGTAATTCTTCATCAGGCTTGTACAATTACATGAAATGCAAACTTTTAGTATACAGACCCAACGGGTCGTCAGTCAACCAAATTGATCTTAGTGCGCTGTGACACACCTTCGGTTAGGTTACAGTTGTATTCGTACGTGCGTACAGGTCAACTGCAGTCCGTTCTGGCCAAGGTAGGCTCAACGCGTGAGTGAACCGTTTCTGCGTGCACAGTGCTGGTTCGTACAGCCGAATGGCGATGGCTTCTGCGGCGTCTAATATCCGCTTACGGAAACACCATGATCGATTTTCTGGGGCCTGATAGATT